CTATGATTTGGCCTGTGGGGGTTTAATACCTCTTACATCGAGGATGGAAGTTGGCCTCGCGGGACCTCTAACCCTATGGCAGAAGGTGCCTGGGAGGAGAATTACTTAAGTGGGCATGTTGATGTTTCTTATACTGGTTGCTGCAACCGAGATAACTTACCTGAGTGCCCAACGTTTGCCTGGCAGTCCTGTAGTAGTTTGATTACTGTTAGGGAGGATGGCCTAAACCCGGTGCTGGATGACAGAATGGAAGGCATAAGGTACATATAAGTGTGTACTGCTATCTTGTAGCTGAAGCCTGCCCCCCCACGTTTTGTGGTGAATGTCCTAGGACCACATACCTATGGTTGTAGGTTGAGTGCAAGTAGGTTCTGAAGGCCAAGTCCGTCTTAGTTTGGTTCTTGAGACTGTAAACACATGTTAAACCGTTATGGCAGTGTCCCAAATATCTGCTTGGCACAAAGTGCACTCGGCATACATTTGTGAGCATATGCACTGAGTGTCATATGTCTGATTATTGGGACATACGTCGCCCATATGTTGTACATACCAAGGAAGTAATATAATACTTGACTTTGTCTTGGTCTCTGACCCTGCCAGGGGAATCAGTATACCAGGTCACCAAATAAAGGGAAAATATTCTTGAACTTTGCAATTTGTCTATAACCACGCAAGTAATTCTGAAGATTTAAATGAAACCGTGGTGTGAGTATATGGCATATATTCTTGAGTCACATAGATCCACATATTAGGTAGATCAGTCACATAATTACCTCACAATTTAGTGCCCGAGAACAGCTTATATCTGACTTATATGCTTTAAACAGTTGTTTCCACAAATCTATACGTAACCGGTTGTGCATGAATTAATTGAATACTTTATTATTCCTAACGTAATATATAAATCTGACCATTTTTTAATATTGCCATTGTTAACACATATCACAGACTTTGACATATACCAGGTAACATTACTATTTATAGGGCGACATCTAGTGGTTACAACTTGTATTGCCGTCAGCATTGCTGTAATTTTTTGACATGCTTTCTGGCTGAGGCTGTGAAGGGAGCTCTGCCCGTGTGAGTGAACCCCTGTCTGTAGGTAAGTAAGAGAGGGGGGGGGAGGAGAGATTTGTAAGCTGCTGATACCCCAAAGGGTATCAAGGAGCCTTGCAAAATATAGTAACTTCTAATTTAAAAATGTATTTTTTTATTTTTATTTTTTTTTTCAATAGTTTATGTGACAGGGCACTTGTAGGTTGGGGTGGGGGGCGGGTTGGTGCGGCTATTGTGGCAGAGATCGCGGACCCCCGTGAATTAGGTCCGTGGGGGTCTTGATTGTATTAGCCGCCTGACCGTTACCTGCCATGAGCCTGGGGGGGTTCCCCACTCCTGGAGAGAGGGGGAGAGGAGTTAGTAGCCGGGTCCTACGGCTGCTGTGGAGTGAGGGGGGGGGTTAGGACCCGGGTGACACATAAACCGGCTGTTGTGTAGTGAGAGGGGGGGTTAGGAGCTGGGTTACAGAATAACTTGAACCGGCTGCTGTGCAGTGAGCGGCAGCAGGGGGGGAGGGGGAGGGAGGGCTGGTCTGCATGAGGCCTGATCCCCCGGCGGGAATCAAGCCGAATCAGCCCTGGCGAGGGGGTTTCTGTCCCCACAATACTGTAGCCGTGGACCTCGGCGGGTCAGGCTATGTGTAGGCTGCAGACCGGTACAATGATACCGGTCTGCCAACTCACTGTTTAGTAGGGAAACCGGCAGTAGGAGCAACAGAAACTTTGAAAATGCAGCTGTCAGGAGAAACTGAAAACCACGTTGGGAACCAGCAATTCAAACGAGCATCTGGACCAGACGGTGAATGAGGTAGGAGGGGGGGTCCCTTTTAAAGGGATATAGCCCCTCCCACAACTTCAGGCCCTGCCTTCCAATTTATAGATTGAATAGCAGTTAGTTGTCTCAAAGCGGGTGTGTCAGCCCTACAGCGTGTACTCTGCCAGTACGCTGCCACCTCCTCTACTCCTCCTACTCCATCCTCTTCCATA